CATTTATTGATTTTAGGTTGACAAAAAGAATAATTTGGATAAGGAAGAGGACAGATTGGCGAAGCAACAAGAATTGCAACGACGGAAAGCACGAAAACCAAAGGGCTTTAAGTTGATCGAACTGGATGTTGGTGAGGATATATCACAGTTTGTAGCGACATCAACGGATAAAACACAAAAGGTGAGCAATGATTGTATTGTTAGTGAATTGTGAAGAAGACGGGAAGAATAGTTTGAGAATGAATACCGTAAATGATATATTAATTTTTGTAGGATTCTGTTGAGACGCTGGGGACGATGCGTGAAAAGATGTCAGCAAGTGGGGATGATACACGAGAGCAAACAACAACGAATATACCCTTCGGTGGACGTCAGATAACGTATCGACTGAAGCAAAGAGGAGCTGCTGCTGCAAGGGCACAGCAAATGGCCGAGAAACAGGAGGAGCATTTGAAAGAACGAAAGGAATTGCATCGAGGTACCAGAGAGATCACAAAAACACTTAAACGACTGCCCGGTTTTCGTGGNTGTCTTCATAGACAACGAAGCATGAGAGATCATTTTTCGTTTCTTTCTTCGACACTTTTTGACGTGAATTGTTCGTTTGTACGGGTATTTGGCTGGATGAGGGTTGTTGATATTGCATTCATTGTAAAGTGGCTGCTTGAATGAAGGGAAACGTAGAAAGCAAACATCAAATTGTGTCATTCGTTAAGTATTTTTACGGCAGTATTGATGAATGTATTTTTGCTGAATTGCATGAGAAAGAAGATTTGATAGAAATGCTTCAGTTATGTTTCGTTTCTTAAAGTGTTTTGGGTGCATCACACAAGTTGGATTAGATGAATAGTTCTTAGATTTTACTCATCTTCGACGTCATTTGTTGATACGCACTTTAAGATGCTACTGATTGCAATCATAACCTAAGCAGAAGTCATTTAAATTGGTCATATTTAAGAACTTATGATCAGTATTCTTGTAATTGAGTTAGATGATTCGGTTGTAATGTATTAGGTTTGGGAATATATTATAGAAAAAATCGTTAAAATTTGGTTATAATGTGCCAATGTTAGGAACGTAATTTTTGTGTTAGCAAGTGAAATTGATGTTGCGGCGTTAGTTGGCTGTGTGCAGTCAATTTATGAAAAAAGAGATTAGCTTAGTTCATTCAAGAATATTAATTTGCTCAATTCGACTGCAGTTTTCGTGACTTTCATAGCGCAGATTAGATCGATATCCACTATTATGTCGTTGAATCAAAAACTGATTCGCATTGTCAGTGCCGTAATTAAATTGCGAAACTCTTTGCAGTTAATCTATATAAAGTGAATCACAGATTTTACATTCATAATTGTGATATTATAAGGTGACACATCTCAACAAGACTTTATTGTTAGTATTCGTTGTTGAACATATTGAAGAATTTGAGGACTTTGTTGAATCTTTGTTATTGTTGAATGGAGTAATATTGTTTTGTTATATTGCAATTGTTGTTGAGATATTTTATGAGGAGAATAAAATAAAAGACACTTTATGTAAGCTCAAAGGCATTCATCGATCGGATAAGATTGACAATTGAAGCGTTCGATGCAGATGCGAATATAACGCTCACAAACGGAATGTGGGCAACTGGAATGTTTCCCTGAATTAGGCGGTGAATCACGTTCGATTCCAAAATGAGACCACACTCAACGGTTGACTTTGTGCTGTTTTTGGTATAATTAGCCAATAGTTGTCAATCAGATTGAGCTCGTATGGCTTGCTTGGAACGAATCATATTGGGGCGGTCGGTCATTAGGTTGTTGAGAAATCGCCAGTGACGTTGTTGCAG